AAAATCTTTCATTTTCATCTTTGAGATTCTTGTCTTTAATGAGAATTTTGTATCTAATATGTATCTAAGACAAACAAATGAAATAAATACTACTATATACAAATCACCAACTCTTTAGAAAACAAACAAACACAACAACAAGAAAAACACAAGTTATTCTTTTCCCCTGAAAATATTTGGACTTATGTGCACGGTGCAACACACTGGTTTTGGCATTTCTGTCCTTGCCCCCAAAATATTAATTACACTAATACATAATACTATTTAATACATGGGAGACACTCAAACATTGCAGCAGTGTATATAAGTTTTAAAAAAAGTAAAGTTAGATAACACTAATTTTTCAACTTATTATGCAAATGTTTTAAATATATAACCACTAACAATTTGGTGCATCTGTTATGTTATTTCCTCAATCTATTTAGATTATATTTTTGACAGCAATACATGTAATCAGATAAGCAAGTTTCACACTACTCTGTTATGAAAAATCAATAAATCCAGCTTATCTAACCATGCAACAGTTAAATATTGATTAAGAGAACAAACTATTTTCCTCCTTTTTGTATAACTGTACAAGTACTGCTTAGATTGGGCTAGGAGGCACAATGAGTCACAGCACACTCGCCCTTCAACTCCAGATGTGTGGGTTAAAAAGTCTGTTTTAAGGCACACAAGTGAACATCGCTTTGGCATTAGAATTCTAGTGACGATTGTCCAGAAGCCAATATAAGCTTCCTCATGGTTGGGGACAGATGGTGGCCTTTGCTAATGAACAGGTGAGGACTAGAATAGCAGAAGTGTGGTGAAATGAAGTTGAGCTGTATTGGCAGCGTCTCACCTTTATGAGAACTGCATTCACATTTTATAACCATAACATAACAGATTAGTTAACACACCAAGCTAATATCCTATTTAATGTACTTCCTCATCTCCAACTGAGCAAGATCACTGGATCCAAAAACTGGGATCTAAAAAACTTTCCACTACCTGAAATCCAAAAATCATGCCTTACATTTTTATTTGGACATTTTTCCCTTGCAGCTGAATGAGATATATAACTATTAGAACTTCTCATGACAATGTCAATTCACATCTGTTGAGATACTGCTACAATAGTAAGGCACGTTTTCATTACAAGTTACCAAAAATTATGATGGCAAAATGATTCTGAGACAAATCTATTCAGAACACATGATGCAAAGAGGGTAGCAAAACCAGACCAACAGAATGTCATCATTTCAATGCGAGGGTTAATGTTACTGTGCCGGAATGGCTGCTCTGTGCATATATGAAGTTTCCATTATTATATCAGTTTATTCCTCTCCCCCAAACTTGCAGTATAACTTTTCTGCTAGTTCTTCTTTTGCACTCCAAGGATCACTTGTATATAGCACACATAAGTGCGGCCACCGTTCTGTCTTCACAATATTCTCCAAAGACTGTCATATCACTCTGATGAATGTGTACATACACATTTCTAACATTATCTACAGCGAATATATAGAAGTAAGTATAGTGAATATATAGAATATATAGAAGTATAGTTCACACTTCACTGAGGTCTTTGAGGTCGTCTTGACTAAACATGAAGATCTCAAAGACAGGGTTGGCCCTTGAGCAGCTGAGGCCCTCTGTGAACACTGAAACAGAAGATTACATGGCTGATTTTCCAGTGCCTTGTGCCGTATGTGGACATGTATACCTGTGCAAAGGGAAGTGAATGTCAAAACCAGTTTGAACAACAAGGAGTCCTTGTGGCACTTGAGAAACTAACATATAGTCTCTAAGATGCCACAAGAACGCCTCCTTGTTTTTGTGATACAGATGAACGCGGCTACCACTCTGAAACCTAAAACCAGTTTGACTACATCTTACACTCACTTTTCACAGGCATGAAGGACAGCACTAGGTGGGAGGCAGTGGAGACCCAGGCCCTGTGGGGGGAGAGGGGGGTTAGCACCAAGGGAATTGGAGGCCTAGGGCTCCCCTCACTCATAGATCAGACGAAGCACAATTGTGGTGATCTAGCTGATACTGTGGTGAGGAGCAGAAATAGTGCACTTTGTGGGAGAATTTGAAACCTTCACCATTAGTCAGAGGAGGGGCATGGTAGCAGGATCCCTTCTTCTTCTGAAGAGGAGTGCTTTGCTTCAGGTGCATTTAAGACCACATTTCCTAGATATAAAATAAAATAATAAAACCAGCTCCCAACAGCAGGTAGCTCTGTGCGACCCCCCCACTCCCCCCTGTTGACAAAAGGTGGGGAAAGCTGCCTGAGTGTTTGGTGGGGGAGGCTTCGGGAGGATCAGGCGCTGGAACCCATCCACTAACCTTGAGAATCTCATCTCGCTCTTTGAACAGTTGCTGGCCCAATACTTGGGAGCGGCTCCGCTGAGCAACCAGAACAATTAGCGGGAAAGTCTGAGGAGTTCAACATCACCGGGATTCACGAAGTCGGGGGGGGGGGGCGGCGGCAGGGACCCTGGGGCTGCACCTGCTCGGCTCAGCCTCCTGCATGGTCCCTTACCCCCCCCCCCCCCACGCCCAGACTCTCTGCTCCCTGTAGGAGCACAGGCCCCTCCCACGTGCGGGGCCCATCACTGACTGCAACAGGAAACGAAAAGGGGGGAGGAGGGGGCCGTCGTGCTGGCTGGGCAAAGCTGCTGCCCTATGGCAGGTTTCTCTGCAACCCCGAGCCGCTGGGGGTGGAACAAGGGGCTGACTCCCAGCAAAGCCATTGCTACCCAGCTGAGAGGGGTGTTAATTGCAATGCCGGGGGGACTGGTTAGACCGTTAACCTCGGAGGGTTATAACCTCCTGGGAGGCACCGAGAGATCAGCCCCTTAGTCCCGAGGGAGACTCAGCTGGAGGCGAGGCGGGGGCGTTGGCAGCTGCAGGCACTGGGGACCCCCCTCCCCCGCCACTGGGACCCAAAGCGGCAGCTCGTCGAGATCCAACTGAGTCCCGCGCAAACGCTGCCGCCGCGCGCGCTCCTTGGGCAGCAGCGAACCCCCGGGAGCCTCCCTCGCCCGCGCAGCTCGCGCCTGCTGCAGGCAGGGAAGCCGCGCGGAGCTTTCTTCTGCGCCGCTAAAGCGGGGAGGGGGGGGGGAGCTGCCTACAGGCGCGCCTCTTCTCCACCGGGTCGTGGGGAGCTCTCTCGCGCACCTCCTGCCCTGGATCGTCCAGGGCGTGGTTGTATTTGGACACGGTCAGAGGCTGTAAACGGGAGCTGCCCTGTAGGGGTGCTGGAGGTTTGCCTGGGGTGGGTAATTGTCTCTTTCTAACGGTCCGTCTCCTGTTCCTCCGCCCCCCCTTTGAAAACATAGTCGATGCGCTTCGGAAAGCAGAAAGCGGTCTGACTGCTGCGGCATCTCGCCGCGCTATGAATTTGCAACGATTTACCCCCCCCTGCCCCCCATCCTCAGTTATGCGGAGGTGTTTTAACAAATCCCGTGCGGCAATCCGGAGTTACAGTCTTCCGCAAAACTTCTCCGTTTCCCCGCACCTGAATCCTAAGTATTTTTGGAGCAGGACATTAAAGTCCTCCTCCTAGTGCCCTAGTCCGATATGCCCATGCCTTATGATCGCACAGCTGGCAAAAAGGTAAAACAAGCGACTGCCTGTCAGATCCACAGTGAACTTTAGAGAACAAGCTGTTCACGTCCTGCTGTTGGACATAATTCTTCAAAACGCGGGGCAGTGCCTAAACTGGATGTGTAACTGCAGAGCTCCGGGCTGTGCAGAATGTCACATTACCTTTGAAACGTGGTCTACTCATACCTTAAATGGATTTACCCCAGCCTATACACATATCTATTTGCCGTGGACAAAATACAGTAAAATATTAAAGAGACCATTGATAATACTGAAGTGCATTTTTGGTATGAATACCACGAAAATCCTGGTGACGTTTCAGTCCCACTATATTTTTGTAGTTTAAATAAAATCTGTCGCATACATTTAGGCAATTGATGGTAAATTAATTGATCAAGGCTAAATCAAAACACCATTTCCGAGATTTGTCTCATTCATTAACTCGTGCTTGGTTTATCATCTTAAATCTCTTTCTTTTTTGGTAGATTGAGGTTAGCTTTTTCAGTTCTATCTAAACCGTAATCGTGAGTTTATTCAAAGTTTTATTTGCAGATTAAGAGGAGGACACTAACCCATCCACCCATAGCTGTTCATTACACTTCTAAATCCCAAAATAATTCATTTTTAGGTAGCTGCCTGTTAGTAAAATGATTTAATAATTAAATTTTCTCAGAACCCATTAAACAAATTAGTCATCTACCTCTATCTCAAACATCAATTCCTGTTATTTTAAATCTAAAAATAATTTACTTTTTCAAAGGATACTGAATTCAACAAAAAGGAAAATATAAAATGCCTAGAACGAGAAAATATCTTATTAATATTTTTGCACCGTCTGTTGGGATGGGGAAGGAAAGTACAGATTTTTATACACTAGAATTTTCGAGTAAAATGAATCAAGGTTATGTAAAGAGCTGTGCAAATCGCAGAGTACTGTACAGTATTTCACTTGACCAGTTCAGTGCCAGTGATACAGCCACGATTATTATCCTCGCATATTGCATGAAATCAAATACACGTGGGGTATCTTGAATTAGTTGTAAACTGCCTCTAGCCTGTCCAGTAGAAAAATGTAAATTAGGTGTCAATGAGCTGCAGACATGAAAGTTTGTGGGGAAAAAGTAATTCCAGAATCAAAAGCATACAGAAAAACGCAGAGGGGATTTCTGAAGCCCATGCACAGAGCATCTTAAGAAAAAAGAGGAGGTAATACACCGATGGCTGCATTTCTAGAACAACGATTGCCAAAGAAACACGATTTCATTTTAAAGGTAAGGCGTTCAGAAAAGTAAAGCAGTTTTACAATGATATGGATACCTTTGGAGTAGCTGCAGATAAGAACAATAATTTAAAATTAACGCCCTCTCCTCCCGCCACACACACTCAGAGCAAAATTCACGTACCAGCTACTAGACATATTGGAAGTAGCAATCTGAAGATCAATCCACACACCACTTCTGTTGCCATTGCTTGGAGATCTGACTAGTTCGAGTCTTGATTCAAGAAATGAGAACAATATTTGCTTGCTGTTACGACAGGTACCACTTCATAACTTTTAGGTCCACCCTTGCACAGCGCTAATGCAGTTTAGCATGGTCTTTCACCGGATTTTCTCGACCTGCTGCAGATTTCTCACAAGTCCCTTAACACCTTTGGAAGAGCCCATTAAATACCGAAGCAGCTGGACTTCTGGTGACTTCAGTTGCAAGACGCACGGTTTCTTAGAGAAGCCTTTTCTTCTTCTTCTTACTGGAGAACCATTTTGTTGTGCTCCACATCAAGAAAGGAGAACCAGCATTTTAAAATTAAATCGCACTCGATCGGTTCTGTTATATACCAAAGGCTTTGCTCTCGCTCGCTCGCTCGCTCTCTGTTTATATATCCGAGGAGCGATGTGAGTCACAATTCACAGATTCCCAGACACACTAAGGACTCCAGCCACTTTCTTCCAGCTTCTGACCCGTAGGACCCAGCTTGTCGTACACTGAGCAAAATCATCCCAAGCTGCTAGGTTGCTGGCATTTTGCATCCTTCTAAAATGACTGGCATGCTTCCCTCCGCTGGTGCATGGCCAGAGTGCTGTAGGTAGGCAGAGGGGGAAATAGATCGCCTCTCCCGCTCCTGCCGCGCCTGCTGTCTGCCTTGCTGCCCCTCACCGAGGCTCACACACAGCTGCAGCGGTGCTCTTTGCCCACACTTCTCCACCTCAATGAAAACTTTGCGAGGCCCCGCCCCTGCGGGGGGACAGGCCGGCGGAGCAAACAGGCGGCGGAGCAGGAGAGGTTTGCTCCAATAGGAACAGGCGTGTGGGGCAGGTCTCGCTCCGACACAGAGCCCGAGTTAGAGGCATAGCAAAGGGAGCTCGCTGCGGGCGGGCCAGCTGCAAGCCGGGGATCCAGAGCCTGCTTACTCTGCGCCGCCGATCTCCTCTCTCCACCTCCTTCCTGCTCACGTCACCTGTGCTCGCTTCTCCTTCAGTGCTATTTTGAAGACACCTTAGATATGTGACTCCCGGCGTGATTAATCATGCAAGTCCCAGCCACACACCCACCACAGGAGGCTCTAGCGGGAAGGTCTGCCCTGCATTTAAGATCCCTTGAGGGAGCTGCTGCAATATGTACCGTATTCGCTCCAAGAGGCATTTTAAAAATTAATGACAAGTTTGTCACAGGCAACAGTGGTTTGGTTTAGTTATTCCGGGTACTTCCGTGCATTTTTTACTCAAGCAAAAGCTATATAGACTGCCTCAGGAGTTATTCTTCAGTTAGGAAGGCAAGATGTTCTCAAGGAATAAATATAAATTTAAAAGTTTACTAATGTGAAGGGACACTGGGATACACACAAATATACGTAAGTGCTGGAACTAGGGGTGCAGGGGGTGCTGCCGCACCCCCTAGCTTGGAGTGGTTTCCATTATACACAGGGTTTTACAGTTGGGTTCAATGGCTCTCAGCACCTCCACTATATAAATTGTTCCAGCGCCCCTGGAAATATATGAGATTTCTTTACCTATAATTAACACCGTCCCATCACCTTTGGTTGAAAAACAAATAATTTTTAAAAATCCAATGTTCTTTTCACTGGTTTGCTTGTTTACAGTTTGTATTTCTCTGAAACTGGGCACTCAAGCGTAACTTTCACATGTGGGCTCCCCAGCACTAAGACAATACTTTCAGAGGGATGGCCATTCAAACAAACAAAAAACCTATTTCCATTGGAATTTATTTTAAATTTGTGGAAACATTTTTACTGACCAGAAATTTGTAAAAAGCTTACTTTTACTAATCTTAATTTGGGGGAAATTTTGATCACATTGTGTCTCTCTGTGTTGTGTAACTCACAATGGCTTCAATTTTTTATAGTAGTAATTATATATATTAAAATGTAAGGAAGGAGGGAAGGAACTCAAATATGAAATTGCAGAACTACTAACTGTGGTATGTAACCTATCACTTAAATCAGGCTCTGTACCAGATGTCTGGAGAATAGCTAATGTAACACTGATTTAAAAAAAAAAAAAGGGCACCAGAGGCGATCCTGGCAATTTCAGGCCAATAAGCCTAACTTCATTACCAGGCAAAGTGGTTGAAAGTATAATAAAGAACCGAAATATCAGATAGATAGATTTGATAGATGAACACAATATGTTAGGGAAGAGTTAACATGGCCTTTGCAAAGAGAAATCATGCCTCACACTTTACAGAATTCTTTGAGGGTGTCAGCAAACATGTGGACAAGGGTGATCCAGTGGGGATAGTGTACTTGGACTTTCAGAAAGCCTTTGACAAGGTCTCTCACCAAAGGCTCTTAAGCCAAGTAAGCAGTCATGGGATAAGAGAGAAGGCCCTCTCCTGGATCTGTAACTGGTTAAAAGATAGGAAACCACAAGTAGGAATAAATGGCCAGTTTTCAGAATGGAGAGAGGTAAATAGTGGGGTCCCCAAAGGATCTGTACTGGGACTAGTGCTGTTCAATATATTCATAAATGATCTGGAAAAAGGGGTAAACAATGAGGTGGCAAAGTTTGCAGATGATATAAAATTACTCAAAATAGGTAAGGCCGAAGCTGACTGCAAAGAGTTGCAAAGGGATCTCACAAAACTGGATGATTGGACAACAAAATGGCAGATGAAATTCAGTGTTAATACATGCAAACTATTACACTCTGGAAAACATAACCCCAATTATACATACAAAATTGTGGGGTCTAAATTAGCTATTACCACTCAAGAAAGAAATGTTGGAGTCCTCATTGATAGCTCTCTGAGAACATCTGCTCGATGTGCAACACCAGTCAAAAAAGCTAACAAAATGTTAGGAACCATTAGGAAAGGGATATATAAGATGACAGAAAATGTCATAATGCCACTATATAAATCCATAGTACACCCATACCTTGAATATCATGTGCAATTCTGGCTGCCCCATTTTCAAAAATATATATTAGAATAGGAAAAAATATAGTGAAGGGTAACAAAAGTGATTAGGCATATGAAACAGCTTCCATAGGGGAGAGATTAAATAACTAGGACTGTTCATCTTCAAAAATAGATGACTGGGGGGAATATGACAGGTCTATAAAATCATGAATGGTGTAGAGAAAGTGAAAAAGGAAATGTTACTTACCCTTTTGCATAACACTATAACTAGGGGTCCCCCAATGAAATTAATAGGCAACGGGTTTAAAACAAACATAAGGAAGTACTTCTTCATACAACCTGTGGAACTCATTGCTAAGAGATGTCGTGAAGGCCAAAAACACAATTGTGTTAAAAAAATAATGATATAATTCAGTGAGTACAGGCTCATCAATCTATTAGTCAAGGATGCAGCCCCATGCACTGGGTGTCCCTAAACCTTTGACTGCCAGAAGCTGGGACTGGATGACAGTGGATGGATCACTTGAAATTGCCCTGTTCATTCTCCACTGTTGGAAGACAGGTACTGAACTAGATGGACCATTGGTCTGACCTACTATGGCCATTCTTATGTTCTTAAGTTATAAATTATAATTTAAAAATACAAACAGAGGTCCATAGTCTCAGTAAAGCAAGAATTTGCCAAGAAGAATGTGGAAGCAGTGATCACATACTCTAAAATTCCATTCCAAATACTTTCCTTTACCAGGAACTATATATATATAGTTATAATATAAATATATATATATATATATATATATATATATATATATCTGCGTGTGTACACACACACACACACACACTTGCATTTTACAGAGTTGCCAACTTTTGCAATTTCATCATGAGTCAGACAATATTTGGTGCTGTTCTTGAAGCCCTAGCTCCTGGACTCTTATGATTCCATAGAATCTCATTTTTCACTTAAAAACACGTCTAGCTTTCATGGCTTCAGTGTAAAGCTTGCAAAAGTGACCCAGTTGTAGCCCAATTGTATTCAATACCATAAGGAAAATAAAAAGAATCCCTTTAAAAAAAACCCTCATGATTTTAAGCCAATCTCATAATTTGGGGGCCTCACTCATGATTTCTGAGCAATAGATGTGTGTGTGTGTGTGTGTGTGTGTGTATATATAGCTGACCCACACGTGGTGTATTTTGAAAGCAAAGAACTGTATGGTAAGTTCATTCAGAGTCTGGACATAAAGAAAAGTTACTTCTTAAGGATCTTCTTCGTTATTGTACATTTATATGTTTTTTAATCTTATTGACTGTTTCTCCACTATAAGGCATGATACTGTGATATTTATGTAAAGAAACTCCTAGTAAAGTCAGCAGGAGTTTTGCCCATGTTAGCACTGGGCCTTAAATTTGCTCTTTATTCAACATCGCTTAGTCATGTTTATCTTGTTTGACTAATCTCCTGTAGAGAAAAAGCTTTGTTCAGCTGCTGACCTTTTTACTGTTCCCCTTCATGTAAGACATCCATAATGATATTGTTTAAACATCTCAAACAATACATGGAAGAAAACATAGCTTGTGATTAGTATATAATCTTTTTCTTTCTTTTGTCCTACATAGGAAATAAAATTAAGTAAAAATGAAGTAACTGTAAAAGTATTCCCCATATAGGATTTTAAATATGCATATTTGTTTCTAAATATGCAATTGCACAGTGATCCATAGTTGATGAAATGCACTCTCTCAATCTGCCATGTTATGCCTAGATATTACAGAATATGTACTATGGCACACATGTTCATTCTTTATTTAGGGGGTTCCTACAATATCTAACCATGACAACACAGATTACAATTGGAGGGTTGTTTCTCTCCACTGGCACACAAAGATGCAAATTGCACCACTTGTGCCCATGAGAAGAGCATCAGCCCCCCAGAGGATGGCTGTGGCATGCTCCTGAGGGTTCCATCAAGGGACAACAGCTTTATTGTGTAAGCATGGCCCAAGAGAACCCCTGCCAATAAATGATGTTTAGGGGATGCACTCAATCAGTCCTTATTCTGAGCCATGGTCACACCTTCCTTCTCAGTTAGCACCACCCATTTTCTAGGCTGGGTCAATGATTGCCATACCTCTGGCACAACTGGTTGGCAGGTCCTTTGTGGCCTCCCCTCCAAGTTGCCTTTTCCCCACTGGGGACCAAATTTCTCCAGTGGAAGTGAATCTAGCCTGGAAGTTTGATTCTGAATTTTCTGCCTTCTATCACTTCAAAGCAAACATCATTACAAAATCCAATTAGTGACCTTTTTCATTAGCAGACTAGTTAAACAACCCCTACAAATCAGCTAACTAAGGACCCAGTCCAGTCCCCACCAAAGTCTACGTCACAACTCCTATTGGCTTTCAGTGCTGCAAGATCAGGCCCAAAGTCACTATTTTTAACAAGCAATTCTCCTTTTGCATTGGATGCTGCAAAACAAAACTAGCTGTTCATAAACTAATAAATAAGTTTTGTTTATGCACCCTATGGCATCATATTGCACGCATATTGGCAGCGTTAGATTTCAGAGATTGTTTATTTGCTTAATCAGTTGATTGGGATCACTTAAGTTAGTACAATTCCTTTATTATTTTTACAGTATGGTTAGTTTTTACATTGTTTGTATCCTGGAGAGTTATTTGCCTATATTTTGGAAATAATGAACTCATTGTTGCTTCAATTACTGTATTTACTCATAATTCACAGGGTATGAAACCAGAAATTATAATACATTCAGTGAATAGCT